TTTATGAAGCTAATTGAATATCTGAATCTAACACCTATAGGAAATGTGCTTGAATCTTATCTTGTGCCAAATAATAGAACATAATAAGTAAACAAGCAATTTATGCAGTAGTGGCCAAAAGATGATATAACCATTATTCCCTAATTTAACATAATAAACCTTAAATTTAAAAATTAGTCTTTTCTCATTTTTTATTATTAAAAATAGACAAATAGCTATTGATTGGGAATATATTCTCTGTTAATTTCTTGGAATAATTAAATCAAAGAAAGTAAATTTTAATGTTTTCAGTTCAAGCTATAGACAAGTCTTCTAGATAATTTATCATATTCTTCATGTTTCTTCTAAATCAAATTGGTAATATTGAAGTTATTATATCATTTCGATTCATCAAGAATTTCTAAAATTGTTGACTTTATTCAGTTTTTTGATAGTATTGTAAATTTTTTATATTTTTACAATAATATTAATCAAATCACAAGAATATTTAAATATTTATATTCATTTTCATTCATCAATTTATTCAAATTATCACCATAATTCTCCCCAAAATCCAAACAAAGTTATCTTATTTAGAACACATTCATTAATTCTAAGTAAAAATTGAGAATATTTAATTGAAAAATTTACTTGAAAACATAGAAAATGAGAATGAAATAACCTTATTAGTTTAGAAAATTATATCTATAATTCTATTCTCTTTATCTAAGTTTATGTTTATAATCTAATTAGTTATTTTAATTGTGTAAATATAACCTTTAAGTCTAATTCTTATTTACTAAGCATTATTTTTTTGATTTAATTGTCTAATAAATTCTTCCAATATAAAAAAATACAAAGTAAATATAAAGTAAGAGTAACTATATTTATGATAATTAATTTATTATATATATGAGAGCTCTTTTGTATTTTTATTGATATTAAAGTTATTGATGTATGGATTTACATTTGTTAATTTAACTTTTTGGATTTCTATAAAATGTAAAGGCGATTCGTTTATTTCCAAGATTTATATTGCCTAAATTCATAAAAAATAATTTAATTAATAATTTAATAGAAATAGAAAAATAATGTCATAAAAAGAAATAATAAATAGAGAATTAGAATATAATATGAAAGAATTAGATTAAGTATTAGATGTATATAATTTATTATAATTTATTTTTAGTAATCATTTGATAAAATAAATAATTTGATTGATTAATTATTTATAATAGATTCTCCAATTTATAAGTTTAACAATACTAAATTGGAATTATCTTTACCAAAACTTAATTAATTCCATTTAATTGATTAATCTCAATTTTAATCAAATATTCTTTAAGAACTTAAACCATTAATTAATTCAAAAATCAAACAATCATATTAATTAAATTAAACATCATTAATATAATCATAATAATAATAAATTAAATCTTAATTCAATATTAAACCATTTAATTATTAATTAATTTCAAATAATTCAATTAAATAATAATAATATTGTTATTGTATTGCAATTAATAAAGATAATTCAATTATAGCTATTGGTTGTAATAATAAATAAATAAAAATATATGAATTTAAATAAGAAATTATGTAATAAATTCAAGTCTTAAATGTAAATAGTAATTATGTTTGCACTTTAAATTTCATGTAATAATCAAATTAATTGATATCTGGACATTCTGATGGATCTATTATAATTTGGTCAAGAAATAACAATTATTAATGGAATTCCTCATAAACAATTAATGGACATAATAATGAAATTAGATGTTTAATTTTGAATAAGAATGAAGATCTTTTTATATCTAGTAGT